TATACACTGAGACAAACTTCTCAGTGTATTATTTATAACATTAGACTTTACTGGATGGAATCTTGACTCTCCCCCCCCATGAAGCACCAGTGTCAGGTGCTTTACTACAGTCTTGACCCCCATGAAGCACCAGTGTCAGGTGCTTTACTGCAGCCTTGACCCCCATGAAGCACCAGTGTTAGGTGCTTTACTACAGTCTTGACCCCCATGAAGCACCAGTGTCAGGTGCTTTACTACAGTCTTGACCCCCATGAAGCACCAGTGTCAGGTGCTTTACTGCAGCCTTGACTCCCATGAAGCACCAGTGTCAGGTGCTTTACTACAGTCTTGACCCCAATGAAGCACCAGTGTCAGGTGCTTTACTGCAGCCTTGACCCCCATGAAGCACCAGTGTCAGGTGCTTTACTACAGTCTTGACCCCCATGAAGCACCAGTGTCAGGTGCTTTACTGCAGCCTTGACCTCCATGAAGCACAAGTGTCAGGTGCTTTACTGCAGTCTTGACCCCAATGAAGCACCAGTGTCAGGTGCTTTACTGCAGTCTTGACCCCTCATGAAGCACCAGTATCAGGTGCTTTACTACAGTCTTGACCCCCATGAAGCACCAGTGTCAGGTGCTTTACTAGTCTTGACCCCATGAAGCACCGGTGTCAGGTGCTTTACTGCAGCCTTGACCCCCATGAAGCACCAGTGTCAGGTGCTTTACTGCAGCCTTGACCCCCATGAAGCACCAGTGTCAGGTGCTTTACTACAGTCTTGACCCCCATGAAGCACCAGTGTCAGGTGCTTTACTACAGTCTTGACCCCATGAAGCACCAGTGTCAGGTGCTTTACTGCAGCCTTGACCCCCATGAAGCACCAGTGTCAGGTGCTTTACTGCAGCCTTGACCCCCATGAAGCACCAGTGTCAGGTGCTTTACTACAGTCTTGACCCCCATGAAGCATCAGTGTCAGGTGCTTTACTGCAGCCTTGACCCCCATGAAGCACCAGTGTCAGGTGCTTTACTGCAGCCTTGACCCCCATGAAGCACCAGTATCAGGTGCTTTAACTACAGTCTTGACCCCCATGAAGCATCAGTGCAGGTGCTTTAAATGCAGCCTTGACCCCATGAAAGCACCAGTGTCAGGTGCTTTACTGCAGCCTGACCCCCATGAAGCACCAGTATCAGTGCTTTAACTGCAGCCTTGACCCCCATGAAGCACCAGTGTCAGGTCTTTAATGCAGTCTTGACCCCCATGAAGCACCAGTGTCAGGTGCTTTACTGCAGCCTTGACCCCAATGAAGCACCACTGTCAGGTGCTTTACTGCAGCCTTGACCCCCATGAAGCACCACTGTCAGGTGCTTTACTGCAGCCTTGACCTCCTAAAGCCCAGTGTCAGGTGGTTTATAGCAGCCTTGACCCCAGAAGCACCCGTGTCAAGTGCTATACTGCAGCCTTTGACCCCATGAAGCACCACTCAGTGCTTACTGCAAGCCTTGACCCCCATGAAGCACCCATGTCAGGTACTTTACTGCAACCTTGACCCCCATGAAGCACCATGTCAGTGCCCTTTAACTGCACCTTGACCCCAATGAAGCACCAGTGTCAGGTGCTTTACTGCAGCCTTGACCTCCTTGAAGCACCATTATCAGGTGCTTTATTGCAGTCTTGACCCCCATGAAGCACCAGTGTCAGGTGCTTTACTGCAGTCTTGACCCCTCATGAAGCACCAGTGTCAGGTGCTTTACTGCAGCCTTGACCTCCTTGAAGCACCAGTATTAGGTGCTTTATTGCAGTCTTGACCCCCATGAAGCACCAGTGTCAGATGCTTTGCTGCAGTCTTGACCCCTCATGAAGCACCAGTGTCAGGTGCTTTACTGCAGCCTTGACCCCCCCCCCCCCAAGAAGCACCAGTGTCAGGGAATTTATTGCAGTCTTGTACTTTGGACTCTGATACAGAATCTGCAGGTTTGAGTCCTGCTGTGGATGTAGAGACAATGTTCGTCAATAATTTCGCCCGTTTGTAATTGTTAAGCATTTCAAATCTCTTTCGTTGTCCACAGCATGTGGCAGGATCTGATGAAATAACTCTGAAAACATGCCTGGTGCCCCGGTGTATGGGGTAACATCGTCTAGCTATGGCTAGGCACCCATACTTATCTGGGATCTGGCTCCGTGGTGTAATATATATACGTATGTCATGCCATAGAGGTAAAACTGGTCAAATAGCAAGAACTCATTTAAAATTAAGTCCTTTCTAAAATTTTCTATTATATCCTTAAAGATATATTTTTTCATTTATGTTAATGTAAAAATTAATAATTTTGTACCAAAAGAATCCTAAAAAACTTACCTAACAATACAATTTATTTCCTTGCAAGTTTACAGTGAGATTCTTATAACCTTATTATAAAAAGCACAATTTAATTTAGCCTAATCCAACTACTGTAAATATATTTTAAATAAGTTTACAATAATTAATAATAAACAAACATAATGAAATGTATTTTTTTCGTTAGGTTGAGAAAGATTTTTACGAAATTACTGAATACACAAATTTTCACTTGCCTTGTATAGCAAGAAGAGCATTGCTATTTAAGCCAAAATTGCAAATTTTACCTATATGGCACAGAATTCTTCCTTCGTAAGCCATGCATGTCATAAGAGGCAACTAACATGCTAGTAAAACCTTCTCCTGTATACATTACTAAAGTTAAAAAGAGAAACTTATTTTTATTTTGGGGTCACCCTGCCTTGGTGGGATATGGCCAGTTTGTTAGAAGAAGATATGCATGTATATATAAATAGTGGAACCTCGGTTCTCAAATTTAATTAGTTCCAAATGTCGATTCGACAACCTAAGCAATTTTTCCCATAAAGAATAATGTAAATAAATTAATGTAAATAATGTAAATTAATTAATTCCATTTACATGATTCTTTACTACATAAAACATTATATAAAATTATACAGCACAGGGGAACTGTAAAAATGAATACTAAATGAAAATTTAACTAAAATACTGTACAGTAATATTGTAACCATACACAAGGAGTATTTAATCAATAACAACACTGCAACTAGCCGGGGGATCGGTGGGCTAAAACAACATGGGTTCGATCCCCTGGCTAGTTGCAGCATTGTTATTGATTAAATACCACTTGTTCATGGTTACAATACTGTATATACTGCCTGTGGAGGATAGTACACCAAATGGAGAGTAGAATGAAATTAGCTCTGAGGCACCCACACCATAATATGTCCACGGATCAACACCTACTCTGCTGGGTGCATGATTCTTGTAGGATTGTATGATCCAGTGGGTTAGAGCATTGTGAATTTTTGCTCACCATGAGGCGGGCTAAAACAACACGGGTTCGATCCCCTGGCTAGTTGCAGTGTTGTTATTGACTGTACAGTAAATAAAAATTTAAATACCCCTTATCTGTCAGAGAGCTAATGGCATAGTGGATGCAGTGGAGGAGAGGAGGGGCATGTTACTGCTCAGAAGGAGCGTCACCTTCTATTAATATGTCAGACAACTGTCCTTCTGGTGTTGTTTCTCTTCTTTGTCTCTTTTCACCACTAACACCTTGTTCTGGCTCCCTGGTTCTTTGTCTCATTGTGCATGTTAAAGATGGATGGCCACTGTGTCTAGATTGTATTTTTCAGCAAACTCCTGTACTTCATGGCATTTAACACACATTTTTTTGACAAGTGCAATGGACACATCATCCCGTCCCTCCTCTTACTCTGATGACAGCTCCTCCGCTGCAATCTGTTGCTGCTCCTTCTGAAGGTCAATAAGTACTTCTGTGGTGAGTTCAGTTCTGTGCTCCTCCACCAACTCCTCCACATCATCTTCAGTCACCTCTAGGCCCAAGGTCTTTTCCAAGGACACAATGTCCTCTACCAGCTCAGGCTCATCTTCCAAGTCTTCAAAATCCCCTTGTCCCATTCTGTACATGCAAAAACTTGTCTGTCAACAGCCAAGAGAACTTACGAAAACGAGGACATCTTTTTCTCGAACTCCTCATTCGAAAACCAAATTTATTCGACAAGTAATGCAATCGACAACCAAGGTTCAACTGTATGTACAATTTTTTTCTATGTTTACCTGTTTAACCCGACTGCTTGCTGAACTTTTAGATGCTTGTATTATGAACAGATTATTTGCTGTAAAAGCATTATATATTAGCTTGTGTGGAATTCATGTTTATTTCAATATTTTCCTACTTTATAATGAACTGTTGGCAATTAAATATAAACAAACAGTTATCTGCATGTAAATGTTAATTAGAGATCCTTTTTTATAACCCTCCAGCAGTTTCCCACTGAGGCAGGTTGACACAGAAATAGAAAAAGCACACATTCATATATCAATCATTTATTCTCCAACCTTGCTCATACTCCATTTGGAATTTGTACCTCATGTATATTCAACAATGACATTAACTTAAACAAAAACCATATAAAATATCAATAATTTATTCTCCAACCAACTTAAATATTGCATTATAATAATATATAACTTACAAACATGTTGAAATTCTATTTCAGTGATACATGTACAGTATTCTGTATTTAAACTGTAAAAGATTTTCTAAGTGTCTATGAAATATAAACTCCTTTTCATATGTCCATACAAGTGTTTAATAAATTATCACATTAGTTCTCAAGTTATTTGATGCTTGACTGTAAAGAGGTTGCATTAAGCCAACTCTTCAAGCATGTTAGTTAATTCAGATGAATGACATGGTTCAAATCCGTGTACTGGCAATCTTAGAATTACCAGCTCTGTATCTGAGCCTATGCACCAGTGTGTGTAATAAGAATTCTCCAACCAGTGGGGCAGTGGGATAAGACATAGGTCACAATTCTAGAACTGCCAGAACCTGGGTTTAAACCCTTTTGCTTCCCAAAATCTAATTTGAATTAGGAATTTTCAGCACATGCTAGCTAATAATCATCTCCTTAAACCTCAAACATCAACTGCCCAACATTTCTCAAATTATTTGAAGACCTCTCCTTACTAACTGACCAATGAATTAAACATCTCAGTAATAATTTAAATCACTAAAAACTGTGCAAAATACTAAACAAATGCACTTATAGAAGGTAGAGGTAAAAAGATGGAGAAAGGCAAGTATAGGCAGGAAAAAACAAACATTTAAAACCAATGAGAAAGCATTAATCTTTGAAGAATTATTCTGAGTTTAACCACCACAATGAACAAAAATATAATATTAAAGGCAATTATTTTTCAGGATAACACTATGCCAAATGGAAACTAAAATGGCTTTTTACCACTCTTGCCATTTGTTAAGACACTGATTGCAGAGAATTATTATTATTATAATCAAAAAGAAGCGCTAAGCCACAAGGGCTATACAACTGATTGCAGAGAAGTCTTTATTGTCAGTGTTTCCTCACAAACTGGCTTTATCAAATAAAGTACTGTACATGAAATAAACAAAAACTCCCATTTTGTATATTACATCCAGGCCTAGTATTATTATTATTATTATTATTATAATCAAAGCTAAACCCACCAGTGCTACAGGGTAGGGTGTGTGAACTACGTAATATGCTTGATCTGAACTAGCAAAGGTGGAGAGTATAATGGAGGTAGAGTTTGTAAGGGCAGTGATCCAGGCCTGGTAGTCAATCAGGTGCTGAATGTTAAGTCCCAGGGGTCTGGTGTTGATCTGGTGAGAGCTGAGAAGCTGGGAAGCACTACAACAAGCTTACCAGCCCATGCTAGGTTTGTTAAATTTTTCTATTACAGAATAAGCTATGGTGTGGACAAAGTAAACATGTCATTATTTTGTCAATTTTGTTAGCGAGGTTAACTGAAGAGAATTAAAGGCATATGCTTTTGATCTTTTTTTATATACAGCAATAGCAGGGTTGCTTTATTATTATTATATTATATATTATAATCAAAAGAAGTGCTAAACCACAAAGGCTGTTCCTTTATTATAATAATCAAGGGGGAAGTGCTAAACCTGTAGGATTATAAAGCACCTGTGGGGGATGTGGAAGGTTTTCAGGAAATGGGAGAACAGATACAATTCCCTAGATCAAGAGCCCCTCACCAGCATCAAGGAACCTTCCTTGAGGGGCAGGGTTGCTTTATCCTAAGCCATGAGATGGCAGTGGGTGTCATGGTGCTGGACACAAACAAGTGTTGTTTGAAGTTACTAATTGTATGTGCATCTTTATTTTCTCCTGCAAACATATTGGAAGACTTCTGTCAGTTTCCCTGATGCAGACTTGATCACACCTTCCACATGGTATACTGTAAATTCACATAATCTTTGGTCTCACAAATAACCACCATCATGTCTTGGTGGTTACTCTTCCATGCTATGTTGGATTTTAGTAGAATGGACAAAACTGTATTCGGGTACTATTATAAACATAAATAAGTGCTAAACCATAAGGGTCATACAGTGTATCCAGGGTATTCCTGGCAGGCATGATTTATCTACATTTTATGTCCTGGGTAGCAGCCCTACTGTGTACTGAATCAGCTTTTTGCTTACAATGAAATATTGCATGGTGAGGATGCTTAAGATCGAGAAAAACATTTTCTATGTTACTTTGTTAGCTTTCTATTACTGCAAATTGTGTGTGACTGCCAGAAGAACCTGTACATGCTTACTTAGTCTGCAGATCACGATGTGAATAGTAGTATGCGAGGCTGTAATTATTAACAAGCTTCCTGGACAGTCAGTATTAACTGCTCATCCTACTTTGTGAATCTATGCAATTCACTGGTATTGTCCCAGTCCTAATTTTGTCCAGTTGGTGACCCGGCACCCCTACTTTGTGAAGCAAACATCGAAGAAAGGCAGTGAATTGTCTGCTTCCTCCAAAGTAAACTAAACTGACGATTCAATCCAATTTAAATGGATTCTGAAGTTTTGCAAGTTAAACCATCCAGGAACAATGATGAGAATATCGCCCACTTATCTCAGCCAAGGAATACTCTAGGGTGTGACATTGCTCAAATCGTCTTTTTCTAAATGCTCTAAGGGATGACCAAGATAAATTTTTGTCTGTAATTTCTGAGTAACAAAAGATAAAGATTGAAGCTCACATATGCAGTGGACCCCTGGATATCAGCTGGTGCAGATATCAGCCACTTTTATGGCTGAATTTCTATCCTGGATTTCAGTTGGAAACTTGGAAATAGGCCGTATTGGACGCATCCGTCTGCTGCATGTGTGAATCAATCTGGCTCTCTCTCAGTAAGTGAGCAACACACTGTACATTCATCCAAACATTTCGTGACTGCGAAATAAGCCACCATGGGCTCAAGAGCTAATCGCTGAAGAGCTGCAAGACCTTCATCTGCAACAGCAACAGACCACAGCTAAGGAAATTGGTTCAAAGGAGGAGGAAGAGAGAGGGAAGAAGGTGCCTTCTTCAGCAATTAAGGATATTTGTGCAAAGTGGAGGGAAGTGCAAAGTTTTGTGGAGAAATATCACCCTGACCAAGCTGATTATTATTATTATTATAATAAAAAAGAAGCGCTAAGCCACAAGGGCGACCAAGCTGAAACAAGCCATATCTGCATCATTCATGTTCAGTAACAAATTCTTGTCCCCCTTCAGGCAAATCTTAAAGAGACGCCAGGGAACAGTGACCTCCTGGACATGTTCTTGTGCGACACGGGTGCAGTGACTCAAGCTGGTTCTAGTGCCAGTAAAAGACAAAGAAGGGAAGTAATCCCAGATAGGGACTTGATACCTGAAGTCTTTATGGAGGGGGATTCCCCTTCCAAACAATAATCAGTCCTCCCTCTCTCTCCTCTCCTGTCTTCCATATGCCAACATTATTATAATAAAAAAGAAGCACTAAACCATAAGGGCTATCATATGCTAACAAGAAACTTCAATGGAGGTAAATGTGATGCTAAATGTTCATTTATCCATTTCATTAGTCATTTTATTTAGTTCTCATTTTTTGTGTATGTAAAACTATAGTTAATCTTTAAAAAATGTATTTTTTTGTTAATATTTTTGGGTGTCTGGAACGGATTAACTGTATTTATATTAATTCTCATGGGAAATATTACTTCAGTTTTCGGCCTTGTTGGAGTGAGGCCGACCTTCCGGAATGGATTACGGCCGAAATCTTGGGTTCCACTGTACTTTAATGAGACCAGTGGAATCTGGAGTGAGTGTGCTGAATACAAAGTTGGTGTCACGGATACATAGAGTGATTGACTTGTTCAAGAAACACCCGTGAAAAGTGAAATGATCTTTAAGCTTGCTAGCTTCATATTTCCAATGTTAATGCATTTTAATCTGGATATCAGATCACCCCAGTGATGCAAGCATGAAGGAGTTATTGTGCATAATAACTAGGACAGACTTCTTTCAAACTGCTAGCAAACTGGTGTAAAATACTCTTTATACTTTAAGTGACTGGTTTGAGTTTTAAGTCAAGTTTATGGGTTTTGGGTAACCCATGTTTGCTTGCTGGAGATTTCAGGCAACAGGTAATTCAATTTTTGCCCCTACTGGAATCTGGCTAAAATATTACTATAAATCCATGACACACACACAATGTGGGTTACCCAAACTCCATAAACTCAACACACAGTTTAGACCTATTATTTCAAGGGTAGTGTGTGTTCCACACCAATAAACTGGTATACAATTTTCCCTTGAACAGCCCTGGGGTTAAGGGTTTCCCCCCCAATGCAGTCAAAAACCCATGTGTAACTTGACTTTCCAAAAATTTAATTACTAATAGCTTACCGATAACATAAACAGGAGATTAACACATATTTTGTATGTGTATTATATACTGTATTCTTACAATAAAGTAAGCTAGAGAAAAGAAAATATTAAGAAAATTATAAGGAAGGGAAAAATACATTTACAGTACTGTACTGTATTTATCGATGCTGTAAGTTTAAGTTGCCTGTTTACAAGATGAATCATTTGTCTGTCAGTACCTACATCAATATTATCTTGTATGATACAAAACACTGTAGATGCTATACATATTACTAACACTAGACACCAAAAATGAAAAGATAATGTGAAAAAGTAATTCCTATTTATTTACAGGTACAATGATTCATGCACTGATAACGAAGAAGCAGCAATATGATTGCAGATACTGGCAACACTTGAGTTCATCGCAATAACAACAGGAGGTGGCTACGAAATTATCACAGTAGTACAGTATGTACAACTGTTAATTTTACACAGTTATGATTTGATATTGAATCTTCACATTTATTTACATTTCTCTCGAATGCGAATGGCGCCATGTATGATCTGTAAGTGTATGTGTGTATAAGTTTTGATAAATTTTAACTTTTTAAAATAGATTTGTGTATATTTTATGGTATTAAATGATAAAATAGACTAGTATCTACATATATTTTATGCACTCATGACATACCTAACCTTTTCTTAATTTTTTCCATATTTCCAGACTATGTGGTTCGTCTGCAAGTTTTTTACAAATTGTTGCAAATCTCCAAAAAGTTTCAAGTATATTTATTGAAAAAATCCATGAATAAGTGGACTTGCCCAGTTTAAACCTGTATTGTTTAAGGGTCAACTGTACTTGCAAAAAATTTATCCCAGCTATTAGGCACAATAAGTCCTTCACATTTTAATCATCCGAGTGTTATTGTTAGAAATGAGATAATAGGAAGTTCAGGTATTATTTCACTTTTCCACAAGTTTTTGCTGATTGTTATTCACTTTGTATGTAACCATGACATATCAAACTTGGTATATGCATACCCACTCAAGCTTTTATTGAGCTCACTGAAAAATGTGTGAGCTTTGATCTGTTTTCCTTTAGTAATCAAGACTTTAAGGTGTGAGATAAAGCAAACCTACTATTTTGTGAAAATGACAAAATCAAAGGAAAATTCCTTGAATACTCTACCATTAAACTAACACAATTTAGCAAATAAATAGCACGTGTCCTTTGTGTACATCCATAGCTCGCACCATACCAAATGAAGAAACAAACCTTGTGTGGGCTGGTAGACCTGTTGCTGTGCTTCTGTTTCTTGAACCTCACCCGTTCAACACCTGGCTCCCCAGTCCTCATCCACTCGCCACAAGATGGGATTTTCTGTTGTATTTTATTGAATAAAATCTGCAGTGAAAAACTGCACCAATAGCGAATCCTTTGAAGTCAGTGTTATTCACCATACTGTCAGTGCTTTGCCGTTTCTCTGGGACACTTACCACGTCCCACAAGGGTAGGGGGATGCAAAAAAAGGAAACACATTCATTGTTACTCACTCTCGAGCTGTCTTTCAGAAGTGTGCTGACTTTACACTTCAAATAGTTCTCCAAACTGTATTGTCACTCTCCATTCTTTAGAGTGTAGAATTGCACTTTCCACCTTCATCAAGTCTGCTTAACCTGCTTCCCTTAACCCTTAAACTGTCCAAACATAGATCTACGTTTGCTCGCATAGCACTCCAAACATAGATCTACGTTTTTTTACACAAGAAAGCATGTTAAATTGAACGTAGATCTACGTTTGGAGCACTACACGAGCGAATGTAGATTTATGTTTGGACAGTTTAAGAGTTAAGATAAGATTTTGTTCAGATTTTTAACCCCGGAAGGCTACCCACTCAGGATAACCCAAGTAAGACAGTGTGTCATCGAGGGACTATCTATCTTATTTCCACTGGAGTCCTCAAGCTTGTCCCCCAGGATGCGACCCACACCAGTCGACTAACATCCAGGTACCTACTTGCTTGTTAGGTGAACGGGACAACAGGTGTAAGGAAACGCGCCCAATGTTTCCACCCTTGCCAGGGATTGAACCAAAGACTCTCAGCATGTGAAGCGAGAGCATTGCCTTCGAAGTCAGGCCCTTCATAAATGTTACCTTTCTCACAAAGACCTATGGTATCAAATTACCCAATATAATATTCAGATTTAGATCTGCAGTGCAGAAATTTGTCATTTTACTGCAATACTTGGTAGAACTCACTTTATATGCTGCAAAAAAGTGCATGGTCCCTGACCAATAAATAATTTTCAAATTCATAAGACTTAAAAGGCATTCTTGAATCTTCTGATTTTTGTTACATGCAAAGTTTAAGCTAATAAGCCTATTTAATAACAATAATTTCAATTACATAATCTTTCAGGTAATGTTCTGATAATGAATCAGTTTTAATAAACATCAACCAGTTTTTTCAGACAAACACTATTTGCACAGGATACAGCATACAGTTCCACAAGATTGTGTGGAATTAGATAGTATCTATGGAAAGGCCCTGGTTATGCATAGAATTTCAAGCAAGATACAACTTAAGACTACAAGAATACAATAGACATAATAAACACTGCACATATGTGTATTTAAAGACATTAATTCAATGAAGATAAAACATATACATACATGAGAGCAAGTTAAAAGTGTAGCATGTATGTGACAATAAGAAAAATTGGAATTATTTCAAGTCCAGCAAAAACAGATACATTATCAGAGAATTTTTTTTACAACAGGTGACAGGTAATGCAATACTGTAATTTAATAACTACAGACAATGATTAGATAACAAAGTTCAGTACAGAATATAGAAGCAGTAATGTTCATAAGGTTAAGTCAATATACTATAACAGCTGAGGTTATCTACAAAAAAATAGGCAAGTGATTTGACTTTAGTATTTAGGCACACAGTGCCTGCTTTAACTTAGTTTTAAATTAAATGAGATCATTGTAGTCTTTCAGTTCATCTCTTATGTTATTTACAAATAACCTGCACACAGGAAAATGAAACTCCATAACAATGTTTTCCTTACAACCATTAACTGGTTGCAAGGAAGCAAGGAGAGAGAGCCAGAATATATATACAAGAGGAGGGAGCGGCCAGGAGTAGAACACAAGAGGTAGTAGTAGCAGTATAATGGAGAAATGGTAGTGGCAGTGACAGCAGCAGCAACAAAAAATTCCTGAATTTTTGTCCTACCCTTGTGGGTTATTAGCTCTCCTGCAGTGCTCCATTATCTTTTTTCTCTTGTTCTTAGACTGCCTCCACTACTACTACTGCTTTGCTTATACTCCACTTTCTTACTCTTGTGTCACTACCACTACTCCTGCCTTATTACCATCTCTGCTACTATTGCACTATTTACTATTATGTACTATCACCACTACCTCTACCACTACTTTTCCATTATACTACTTCCCTCCTCTCATTCTACTCCTGGTTTCCCTCCCCTCATATACATACTGGCTCTCTTCTCTTCACTTCTTTGTGAATAGTTAATGATCCAAGCCAGACTGGACTGTTTCATTCTCCTATGTGTGAGTTATTTGTGTGCTGTTCCACCCATGGTATTGTGCTGTTTTATTCTTGTAATAAAGTTGGTAGAATTACCGACAATATGTAAAGTTGTTAGGTAAGACACATATGCAACAGTTAGGTATCTTTATTTCGAAACGTTTCGCCTACACAGTAGGCTTTTTAGTCAGTACAAATATGACAGAAGACTGACGTACAGTCATCACCAAAGTTTTGATGGCAGCCATCTGAGATTAAACTTTAGTAGACTGATTACATCGTCTTCAAGTCTCTTCTGCTTCTATCAACTTTTCTGTACTCGACTGAAGAAGCCTACTGTGTAGGCGAAACGTTTCGAAATAAAGATACCTAACTGTTGCATATGTGTCTTACCTAACAACCTGTCGGTATTTTATACCAATTTAATGTTCAATATGTAAAGTAAAAGGACACAAGTGCAACTAATGTGACATTTTATTGTGGCAACGTTTCGCTCTCCAGGAGCTTTATCAAGCCATTACAAACAATACATGGACACAGAGGGTATATAAAGGCTCAGAGTGAGGTGCAATACTAGTGAGGTACCATTTTGATGTTCACTAGTGGTAGTAGTAGTAGTAGTGTATTACTTTTGTCACTACTACTACTACCGCTAGTGAACATCGATATGGTACCTCACTAGTATTGCACCTCACTCTGAGCCTTTATATACCCTCTGTGTCCATGTATTGTTTGTAATGGCTTGATAAAGCTCCTGGAGAGCGAAACGTTGCCACAATAAAATGTCACATTAGTTGCACTTGTGTCCTTTTACTTTACATGTTTTATTCTTATTTTATTCCACATCTTTGGTACTTTAATTTACTTAGAATTTCTGTAATGTTCAATTAAACACAAGGGATATCAAACCAGTACTTGTTTTTGGTGTGGTGCCTATGTTATATTACAATTCTCTAGGAATAGCCTGAGTTCAGTGTCAGAATTACTTGTGACATAAGGACTGAACAGTAGTGTCAGTCAGGCACTGAAAATTAATATTAAAACCAGTGCACTGGTTTTAAGAACTAATTCTCAAAAGAAAAATGAGGATATTCTGAAACAATATACAAATTTACAGTTTCTATATACAATATATAATACTGTCCCGTAAGTACCTTTGTATCTCCTTGTATCATGAATTCAAAAATATATTCTCCTGCATCAAAACACTCTGCACAAAAGAGCAGATTACATATATCAGAGGTATAATGTCCAAGGCTACTTGACTATTACAAATTGTTAAACAGGGTATACTAGTCAAAGAGTGTATTTGTACTCTATTGGCTGAGCAATGATGACACAAGTGTGACTCTTGGCTGCGATGATTGTGCTTCTGATGCACTTAGGGAAGATTCTTCTATCTGTATTGGGTAATAAAGCACACAAAAAACCATCAGCATGATTGACTAGGAAGGAACATGAAGGAGTAACAGAGTTCGTTCACTCATCCAGATATTCAGAATGTTCAATCATACACAGTAATGTTCAAAGGTCAAAATTCTAACACAAAAAAAAAAAACTCAGATCAACAAGTCCAACAAAAATTTGTATTATCACATTCTTCAAATAATCCACATCAGCTAAAAAAGAGCATTAACCTGATAAATAAAAAAACTGACCTAAATTACAATCTATTAAATGTTCATGCAAAATGGATGAAGTGTCCTCCAGGAAGGTATTCTGAAACTGGTGAGGGGCTCTTGAATGAAGGAACTGGACTTGACCCTTCCTTCTGAATGCCTCCCAGATGCTGTATGAACCCTACAGGTTTAGAACTTGACCATTAAGATTTTATGGAATCATACACTATTGTGAGTTTTATGCAAATCAATTGGCAAATGAAACAAATTGCCACTTAATCTTTTATGCCATACTGTGTCAAAATCTTGTTTAAATTTTTGGTATACTACATCCGTGAGGATGTTGGATAATTGGAGGGAGGGGGTAAAGGAGGTTCAGAGCACTAGGGGCTTTAGAATACAACAGGACTGTGCAAGTGCTAGATCAGAGTGAATGGAGATAAGTATCTTTGGAGTGTGAACAAGGTAGCATTTATGAAAGGATTCAGGAGTGACTGGTTAGCCAGTCTTCAGTCTTGGAGGTGTAAAGTGGTGCCTGCACATCTGGTGTGATGTCAACACACTTCTGGCAAGACAGCAACTGTATGAATGATGATGAATGTGTTATCATCTTCAGGTCACCCTGCCTTGGTAGGATTAGGTAAAAATAAATATTATACTACTGCTACTACTACTACTA